GGGTGGGGGGGTGGGGGGTCGGGGGTGGGGAGTGGGGTGGGGTGGGTTGCAGTCATTCTGAAGCGCTGAAAGGGTTGCCAGATTGGACACGGTCAACATCTGTACACACACACAGTGAGAATGCCGCACCTCTCCTACATCCAACAACCTCGCGGCTGTTGAAGGAACCGGCCATTCAAAAGACCTGCTACACCTGCTGCGAAACGAATGCTCCAAACAAACGTCATCTGATTCTCCAGAAAACATAACATATTGTCAAAACTCAATCAAAGCAAGGCCATGTGCGAGTCGCTGTGTTCTAAACAAATGCCTCAACAAACAGTCTGCTAGAGCAGTCATTACAAATATACACACACATGACCAAATACTAATAAATAAATATATATATATGCATAAGATTGTGTTCATAAGATACTCCCGCGTGCAAAAACAAGCAACCGCCCCGCAATGCAGTGTCCTAGTGGCTAGTAGTCACAATTGCAGTCAGGATAGTGCCCGCATGGTGATACAGTTTCTCAATGGTTAGATGTCCAAGTTCCTCTTGGTCTATCTATCTACTAAATTATTGTTTGCCCGACAAATACACATAGATAGTGAATGACATTGGTTCGCTCGGCCCACCTTCAATCCACTATTTCTCAAGGCAGCCAGCAAGCCCAAACACACAGATGTCTTTCCTGGGCGCATCAATCAACGCAAAATACTAATCAATGAATCTCCATTATCATGTTCCCAAGCTTGGGCATGCTTGTGACAACAATCTCATTCAATTCCTCACAGCCTTCATGGTAGTTGAACATAAATGTTGATGTCCTCTTCATTGGGCCTTTGTGAGGATCGTTCCAATCGTTCCATCACACAGCTGCAATCCACAAGTACCAAACTACTCTCCTATATTCAAGTGTCTAGAGTCTAAAGGAGTCCAATTGTTTCTACTAGCTTCTTGTTACTACTAGTAAGGCACTTGCTCCTAGTAGCGAGGCACTTGTTCCTGGTAGCTTCTTGTTACTACTAGTAACGCACCTGTTACTACTAGCGTGGCACTTGTTACTACTAGAGTCTAAAGGAGTCCATTTGTTTAACTCCCAAATCCCAACCTCGCTACTAGGAGCAAGTGCCTTACTAGTAGTAGCAAGAAGCTAGTAGAAACAAGTGCCACGCTAGTAGTAACAGGTGCCTTACTAGTAAGGAGTCCATTTGTTTATATAACTCCCATTTGAAATCAATCACCAACCGACACTGTGACGGCTTACTGGTCGCGGCTCCAACATGTGTCACAGCACCAGCCACGAAGACCCGCACGCATGGCGATGACGCCCCAACCAGGCTTCCAGGTGCCATGCCCTGGTCAGTGTTTTCAGGCGTTGGCTATGCTACACACCTAGGCTATGCAAAGGTTGGAGGCCATCGCTATTAGGTTGGAGGCCATCGCTAGTAGTAGATAATGCCTGATTGCTAGGCTATGCTTGACTCAATTGTTGGTCTCCCCTTTCTCAAGTTAATGCTTGGTTCCATTTGCTTCCATGGTCACAAGCCTCTCACTTCATAAAACTTACACATTTGTGGGGCTAGGCCCTGCAAACCACATTACCACTGGGCAACGCAAATCTCCTGAATGGACAGGGTTTTGTTTCCAAATGTCCATCTCCAACACTAATCACTAATCGCATAAATCCTCAAATCTCACACCGGCGTTTTTCCAGCCTGGTTCTGGAATGCCGCCGTCAAGTTTCCATTTTGAAAGTAGGTCTTGTCGCCAGCCATCGTGAGAATGTTGAAAGCTTTAATTTATTGAATTCTGAACAAACAATGTGGCAATGAACACACCTGCCCACAAATGGTACCCAACAAATGCTATCATGTTATCGTGCAATCACCCTCGTGGTTAGCCTGGGAAGCTCGTGGGTGGAAAAGGGTTTGTCTGAGCCATGTCACTGAAACTGAAACTGAAGCATGTTGGCCGCATCTGCTTTTGAAAACATCTGCCAAGAAAATTTTGGCGGCTGCGTCACGCCCAGGTAGAATTACACTGTTGGTGTGGGACACAATGAATCAACCAGCTAGAGAAACAAACACATTGGCTGCCACGGTAGCTGATATTAGCTGATGCATCTAAGCAGGGATTGGTGGACAAACTAAGCTCCTCAAGCTTATACAAGCTTGTCAATCCTATCTGCGAATATGCCGCGCTTACGCTGCACATATCAACACCGACAAAGCGCGCCAGGTTCTGCAAGGTCGGGCCCAGCTGCTGGAGCAACTGCCTGTGACAGCATAGATGACGCAGATTCTTGAATCCAGTGCAGAATCAAGAAGGTTTTGACCTTAATGATGTGGTACTGTACAGTTATACAGTTATAAGTTATAATTATGATTGTAGCCATACATAAACATCTCATTCGCAGCAAGTGCAACAGCCGAAATGGCATGAAGTGGCGATGTGCCAGCACCGTCTTCTGGTACATCAGCTGGTGTTATTGCTGATCAAACATAGACGACAATCCATGATACAGTCAACCTGAACCTGTTTTTGCTTGAGCAGTGTTTGAACATCAACAAAGTTTACAAAGTCTCATCTTGCTGTATGTCGTTCTTGCACTTGTTGTTCTGGCATGTTGTCGCATTCCTGTTGTGCTATAAACTCGCGGGCACCTGGCAAGGATGCAGCCGCCATGGAGCTGATCCGTCCATGGCCTCGCCCAAGGCATAGCAATGATAGCAAACTCAGGATTCAGGGCGTTTCACAAGCGCTGTACAGTGGTGACAAAGCATATTGTGTCTCCTCTGATTAACGAATCTATGTTGAATGACACGGGCAACGGAATTGAAAGGGGCGCGAAATGACTTCGGCAACCGCACTTGAACTTTGGACCAGAAACACCGCTTCAAGCCCGACCTTTGAAAGTGACCGCCATTGACTTCGCAGCTGCGTTGCAACCTCAGGCATTGGTTTGCATGCATCACCTCTTTTGGAGAGATTCAGTGATTCAATGTTCATAAACTCTTTGGGCCCTAGGACCAAGAACATGTTTACAAACAGAACAGCTGAGACTAATAGAACACAAAGTTTGCACAGCTTGCAGTCATCACAGTGGGACTCCACTTCGACCCCTCTAGAGCCGAACAGCTGGGAGGCAACCAGTGCAAGAAAACCACAAAAACAGCTGGTCAACAAAAATAATCCCTTGTCCATCTTGTCCCTTGTGAATAACATAAATTTAAATCCAACCGGCCAAGACATATTGTTCAAAACGGAATTAGTATAATGTATATGTATCATTATTGTACATGACACACAAGGGCCCTAGGCGATTACGCCGATCAGAATGCCAAGAACTTCTTTCGGGCCCAAGAACACGCAAGACCCTTACAACTTATGGGCAGCCAAGTGGCCAGCCATCAAGTTGCTCACCTTTTAGCCTTGTCAAGGCCATCCGGACGCTCCAACCTTCTTCGGAGGCATCTACCTGACAGCCGTTGATGCTGAACAGAAACCCAAAGAATGCTTGAACCAACTAAAAGCATGAACAAATTGAGCACGTTCAATATTCCACAAACATGCCCAACATATTACTGCAACTGCAAGCGTTTGTGGAACTGTAGACAAACCGCAACTGACCCCCATGCAAAGTCTTCTGTTCCGATTTTCAATGGACACTCCATTCACAGGCCTAGTGTGAAGCTTGCATTGGAGAGACGTCAATATCAAACAATCCAAATCCTTTCTCTAGCATTTGTGCCTTGTACGCTTGAGCAGTTTCTTTAAAACCCCAGGCTCTGCCTGGTAGGTAAGACATCTTGGTAGCCGAGGAGGCGACACCTCTGCCTTGTTGCGAGACATCCGCCGCCTGCACAAGCGGAATCTGGCAATCACTCATTCATTCAACGCCAAAAAGACTGGACAAGTCACCGGTAAGACAAGTTAAATGTGCAAATCACATCGATCCTGGGACCTTCAGCCCTAATACAAACACGAAACACTCCGGGCATTCAAGTATCTACTGTCTACTGGGTATACGGTATTCCAAAGAATTAACTAAAGCTGTTGGACAAAATATGTTTGCACCGGAAACGGCCATGCAAGAATGGTCCACCAAAGAATGACAGTTTTTTGAGTCTAGCATAGTTGACAAAAACATCTGCAGCAGTGTTTTTGAACAAAAATACTTCCACCAAAATTTCTTAATTATATACTGTAAAAAAAACACACGCAAGGACAAGTCAAGTTTTGTAGATAGGCGGTGTGAGGTGCCCCAATTCACTTCTCAGCATCCGATTTGCCAGGGCACTCCACAGCCATCAGAAGTTGCACCTGTCCAAAGCTGAATTGCTGCTTCTGCCAATCAGCAAACTGTGGTGAAACTCCGGACTCCTGAAACCAGAATCCAGCCTCGAATAGGGACTGCTGGAGTGCAGCTTCGCCCCGGCAGAACACATCCTGTTAGAAAACAACATCCTAGGAACAAGGGCATCGCTACTAGGAGCAAGGACGCTACTAGGGGGGCTCCTGGCCTTACTACTAGCAACAAGAAGCTACTAGTCGTACAATCGAACTTGTGTTCAGTTTACACAGAGATCAAAGAGCCTCGTCGTACTTACACATCTTCAGTTATCATGGGCATGACATGGGAGTGTGCTCGGCTGAACGAGTCTAAAGTTTTATGTCAACAAGCTAAGCCATCTGCAAACTTCATACATCTGGTCCTTTAGTGCCACAGACTTGACTTCCTCTTGATTCTCCTGGCAGGCCAAGACTTGCCAAGATAAGTTCTGATCCGTGGACCTGTCAAACGAAAAGCTCCTTTCTCCATAGCTTGCCGCAGTCTATTTCAAGGAAAGCCACATCTCGCACACGCCTCACCTCTAAACACTGTTGGTTCCCTTAGCTTGACTAACTTTGATATATACCCAAACATGGTTTGTATGCCTGGGTGTTGAGAACGACACTAGAACTTGAACCACAGATTCACGCACACAAACTGCCTGAAGCTTTGCGCTACTTTGTCGCTGAGGCACCTCAACCAAGCTGCAGTTGTACTAAGGTGGGTTTCATCGTCTTATCTTAACTTCTTGAGTGGAGTGTTTCATTCCAATTTCGGTGCCAGCTCATTGTTCGCAGGTGGATCTTGAGTTGAGCTCCTGACGACTTTGGCTAACCAAACAGTGCTATAAGAGCCGCTGCCTCCATCGTTGCGCAAAAAACTGTGTGTTCCATGGATTGGTCCTCATGCACAAGAGCAAACAAGGCCACCCCACAAAGACAAGCAAATTCATTTTATATAGGTAATGTGCTTGAGACCACATGATGTAAAACCACCACCTGCCAACCATGCAAATCAAGGCAGCAATCAGCCAGTTAGGATTCCCTCAAGGCCTAAGAGCTCTTCGCATCTCAACCGCAGGTAGCCAACTTGGAGCTCAGTCCTCACTTGGAGCTCAGTACAGGGGGTCTAACTACAAAGGTGCAGGCCACAACCCTCGCTGTAGAATGCTCAGGCTGAGGTCCTAGAAAGACCTACTTAAGTTTCCCCAAAACAATCTAAGCGCGAGCACTTCACTCCCCGCCCTCAAAGAAGCGTGAGCTATCCTGCGTCCAGCTACTAGAAGCTAATTTAGCCTAGTAGCTTACTCCTCCCTTAATTATACAACATTATATATATAACCAAGTAGGCGCCTACTTGATTAACTAGGAGCGGGCCTTTAAAAAAAAGTCAGCTATGTATTCTATTTCGCCGAGTCTCCCAGGTACCAGAGTTCCTGGTGCCTCCAGTGGCGGAGCTGGAACAGGCGCGGCCATGCCTTGGCCCTGATCCAAACTCACGCCGTTCTCTCGCGGTGGGGCCACATGCACTTGCTGGAAGCGCCGGACTGGCACAGCCGGAACTCCTTGCTCGCCAACAGGCTGCCTGGGACTCCTTCGGTGGCGGTATCTACACCAAACCATTCCTTTATGACTTCAAACATTGCAAATCAAAAGCACCGAACGTACGATGTACGAACCCATTTACGAAAGGTCCTGGGGTTCATTTCGTAGACCTCCTGCGGCGCAAGTCGTCTGGGCGATTGCAAGGTGTAGCCCGGCAAAGGCGAGGCAAAGGCTCTCGGGTGCCCAGTGACCGTGGCCACAGCATGGCGTGCCACAGAGTACGGTCGAGGAGAGTGAGCTTGCCGGAGCCGTGCCCCATGGAGACCTGCGCTTTCACAAGGCATTGCAAGCCTAGAAGCAATGGAATCCAACCTAATAGCGATGGCGATGGCCTGCAACCTATGCAGTCATATAGAGTTATAAGATGTTATGAGTTGTATAGCTCATTGACGTCATACGTGAGACCGTGAGGTCAACACATCAACATACAGTCTTGGCCTGTTGGCAACATTTGGCAACAGCATTTGCAGTTCTGTCATCAACAGGAGTGCTTGTTTGGCGTTATGAGCTCGCAAGATCGAGGGAACTAATAATGGAACCAACCACTAACTTGGCATCGCTACTACGAGCAAGGGCGCTACTAGGCGCTCCTGGCCTTACTACTAGGAGCAAGAAGCTACTAGTAAGAAAGGGATTCGCTACTAGGGCCACCTAGACTGTGTTGTAATTTATTGTCAAGGTCTCGATCAGAGTGTGATGTTGCCACGGGAACGGCTGGGTCTTCTAGTCTACAGGGTGTCAAACGCGCTGTAAGTCATCAGAGGTAAGCCGCAGCTGTTTCCGTCCCACCACGGTGCTTCAGCTTTTGGAGTTGGTGAAAATAGAAATTATGTTGGGATGGTGAGGGATTTCTCCCAAATGACATCACTGTTCACCCTGCCGACATGATTCTGCAGCATTCAGCAGAAAGATGCAGAAAAGAGTCAACAGAAAACACCGTTCAATCACCTATATGGTTATATATAATATGATATAATATGTAAATATACTATATAAATACAATGATCTACAATGGATTCCTCAAACGAATCTCTGACTCTGTCAAAGTTGGATCTGCCTTTCACCCTCCCTTTGACCCGCTCCTCTTGGCGTACTGGCCAAGGGCGGAGGCCAGGGAACTGGCGGGGAGGCTGCGACAATCGCATTTCCGTAGACTGGCGGGCGGCTGGGAGCACTTGGCCTCGGTTACAGATTTTACAAGAGGCATCTCACTTTTGGGGAAAGCAACCTGAAACTGAACTTGTTAGACTGGAAAGCACGGTCTTCTTGCAAGCCTTGATCTGCAGAAACAAGAGCTCAATCATGTCATTCCTATTATGCGTGAGACTACATGGACAACTGGTTCCAGATCAGGTAGTCAGGTAGTAGCCCACACCGAAACGGAAATTGAAATCGAAGAATTACAGTAAATATTTGTTCCGATGGTACAATTTTGATAGTTTGGAAATGCGAGTTTCCCACACCTGCGCCTGCGCCTACAAAATACGTTTTAAGAATTGCATGTTTGGGGTTGCCGAACTACGGGCACTACGGGGTCCCCGCTTGATAGACCCACGACGTTTTGGCACCACGAACTGCATGTGCAGGTTCACATCAAAGTGCAAGAAAACCCAGTGCGCGTGCCAACAACTGTTAGCAAGGACGCTACTAGGGGCTCCTGGCCTTACTACTAGGAGCAAGGACGCTAATCGAGGAACGTGGTCTCCGCCAGGTCGATGAAGAAACGCTGTCTCGGGGATGGCTGTTGCTCAAACGCGCGCATCAGGGCTAAAGCCTGCTAAGCTGAATGTCTAAGCCCTAAACAGGACCCGGTCGTCTCACCTTTCGGGCCCCATTTTGTTGTTTCCTAGGGTGTTTTCTTGCAAGTGATTGTCATGAAGAATCACCCTCTTGCTTCTTTGTTTGAAGATGGTCAAGTTAGTCATGGTAAGATCATGTAAGATCTTTGGATCATGATTGGGTGACAACGGCAACTCGGTTGATTTCTTGCTGTTCGCTGCTATCATCTGCTGCCGTGCTGTAATTTGCTGCAGCCGATCCACAGTAAGAGAGTTATGACAGGCTTTCTGCAAGCACATGCCATGCCAAACCGCACATCAATCAATCTGTGCCTAACTTTGTACTTTAGAGCCAATTCCTCAAAAACAACAGTTCAGCCACACGAACCATCAATGTGATGTAGTCAATGACACCTGGGGTACTCACATGAACCAAATGCATCCAAATGCCAAATGTCAAGCCCCGTTTTTTCACCTTGTCCCATTCAGTCAGTCTTTTTCTCGTCCTGCCAAGTACGGGAAAAACCAACACGCACAGCCTGATGACGAAGTCTTGTCCGCATCGAGCTCACATGTAAGTGAGTGGCATATCCAAAATGATCCGAGATGTTATTTGATTTGTGCAAATGCCTTGACCTCCAGCTGCGAGGCTTCATGAAGCACAAAGACCACCTGTCAAAAAAGGTTCCTGCATGTTCCTGCTGTGATCTGTGGTTCAAGAGATCTTGAAACGGACATATCAAAACTCCGTGTAATATGCTACAAAAGTAGCAGGCTTCAACATGAGTTGGGAAGTTGGGACAGAAGTCTCTTCCAAAATCTTCCAAAGCCTGTCCTTCATGCATCTGATATCACTAGCGGACCAAAATTGTGGGCTGTGTGGGCTCTGGACATGAACTTAGATGTCCTTTTTTGTATTTTGTCCAGGTCTTGTGGCGCAGAAACGGACGAAATCCGCCGGCTTTAGCCGGTGTGCTCTGTGGATGTTCCTGTTGCTGGTGCTGTTGTGTTGTAAGTCTTTCCCCTACGCGCGGATTTTTGCTCCCCCCCCCCCCGCCAAGAAGGCACAAAGCAACCAGAAGCCGCTGAATCAAGCAATGCTACAGAGACCAAACGCCACAAAGGCAAACGCCAAACAAACAAAGCCACAAGCCACAAAACCAATAAATTAACCATTCTCCGATACATGTCCCTGTGCTCGGTTGCGTTGCGGCGTTCCAAGATGTGCATGGAGATGTCATATTCGGCGGTCCGGCCAACATGACGATTTCACCATTGAGTGCTCCACTGAGGCGATCAAGCCGAGGACCAGCACAAAAAAGCCTTACTGCGCCAAGCTAAACAGAGTTTGAGTGGAATTGCCCCCTGTTTGCAAAGCAATCGCCAGCATTGCACTTGTTACATTCTGGCTTAGATCCTTCTAGCTTCCAGTGAGAGGAGTCGGAATGCTGGACAATTGCATTGTGACCACTGCAAAGCTAGGCAAAACATGATAAACTCTCAGGACGTCACCGCCATAGACTACAGCTAAATGGTTTCGGCCTGCTGCCACCTGCAAGCAAGCCAAGCAAATGCAAGTTCTACGCTCTAAGGATCTTTGTAGGTTCAAATGAATCGCCGTCCTTTCAGGTGCCAACCAACATGACTCTCGTTGCTTGAACATCCCAGCAAGCACAAATGCTAAGACTGCTAAGATCAATAGAATGTTGCCTCAGTAGTCCACCCAAAGAGGCTTTTGAAAGAGTTGGTTTAGGACTGTGGTTTCGTCGTGGTGTGGTCATCTGCATCTGTCTAAGCACCTCCCAGTGTTTTTTGGTTTTTTTTTGTGAGATAGCATGTTTCTTGTATGTCAGATCGTAGAGAACCTTCACAGTGACGGCAATGAAGAGTGGTCTTTTCTTCTCATGCACCACAAGCATTGTCTTTGCATGTCTTTGCTGTAGAGAACTTCCTTTGAAAGAGCACAAATGTTGCAGCTGTTGTGAGGAGCAAGGGCGGGGCGGTCTGTTTGGAATGTTGAGATTGAGGCACTTGGCAGGACACACTTGCATTCCAGATCTGGAACAACATGTCCAATAGTCCAATAGCGTTGTTCAACCCCCGACAATTGATCAAGCAAATCTTCTCCGCATAGTAGGACAACACTGCACTTTCGTTGGCCACAATTCCTGATATTATAACATGATATAACTGAGACCAAACAAAGTGTGGTGCATTCGTTCAATTCATTCTCCCCAAACGACCATGCCATCTACAAGCTCGCTTCCATCCTTTGGCATGGCCTCCTGGTAGACAAGGGTCCCACTGATGAGCAGCAGGACAGCCACGCAAAAGGCCAAAATCTGCAGGAAGAAATGCTTGTCAATGCAGGAAAACAATGGAAAACATCCACTGGTGTACCCATCTGACGCTCTATATAAACCTGTACTTCATCATTTCTTGTCAGTCATAAGTTATACCCCTGACACTGTCAGCACTGTGGTTGGAACAAACATAGCAGCTGCTATGAGAGGTTGAAGCAAACCAGTCCAAAATCTTATCTATGGTTGCATCGCCACCAAATTACTTGATCTCACAAGCAATGTTGATTGGGAGTGGCAAATCCTTTCCCTATTTAGTTCAAAAGCGGGAATCGGCCGTGGTCTTTCAAGCACATCTCACCGAATTCGTCTAGACGACGTTCCTTGTTTTGGTCGGTAACAAACCCTTAAAAACAAAGAATTTGTTTGGATTTTTGGAGCTCACAGCGCAGTTGCTTGCAAAAGAAGGTGTATTTTGATCATTGGATCGATGCAAATGACCAAGCAAGAAGCACTTATTTGAAGTTTGAAATTGCCTGCTGTCACATGTTCACTTCACTGTTGAACGCATGCCCTTGACTGTCGATCACGTACCTCTTGCTGGATCAATAGAAAGCCGACAAAACCAACAAACAGCAACCAAACAGAATACAAACTGCTTGCAACCTATCCCAGAACCCCATGACAGGATGCACACTGTGGGTATATGGGATATGGGTTCTGCACCTGCATGGTGTCTTGATCGAAAAGGTTGAACGTTCAGCAGCCCGGCCTTGATCAAGGTACTCCGATCAATGCGGATCACCTCCTTGTCGGCTGAAGATTGCAATAGTTGAAAATGTTTGACGGTCATTAGTCTGTTGGACTCTTGGAATAACCCCTTCACTAAGCAGCCTTAATCGCTGACATCTTCCCTCCTCTTGTACCCTTTGCTTTACATAAATATATACGTATATATGCAACTATGTGACTTGCCTGCCTGCTTTTGAGGATTAAAGCCACTCCAGCGTCTTATTTGCTTGGGACAAGACTGCATGAATAGCCAAACAATGATCACCATGATGTGGTGGTTGACCAATATTCAATACTTTGTCACCCTGGAGTGGCCATTCTTCTCGGAAAAAAATTGCGGATCTTTCGCAGCCTCATCGCGAAGCATGGTCCTACAACCTACAACCATGTCTAGCTAACATGAGCCGGAACATGTCATGGTAAAACAAAATAGGGACAAACATCTTGCAGCATGACCCGAGCAGAAGGTTGAAAGTTTCCACAGCTGCTCAGGGTCACTTGCAGCATCTGTGCGACAATTGTGCCAAATAGAATCAGGCACAACTCAACCCACTTCGTGCCAGCTACCAGCGCATACGCAGCTTGGGGAATGTTGGGGGGCCTCAAGCTAAGAACCTGGACTTTAGCGGCACACTCGCAAAGCTTTCGCGGATCTTTCACGAAATTTCGCTGGTGCTTTCCCCGCGAAGCCGTAACATTTGCAAACATCTGCACAGCCCGTCAGAGCAGCTGCAGGCCGTTGCCTCATTGTCAGGGCTGTGCCTACTCAGGTTGCTAGTCTGTGACAGTGGGGACAGGAATCGGAGAATCCTTTACGCACTGCCAGGGCTGGGCACGGAAATGTTGAGGCTTCAGTTCGTTAGTCACCGTTAGTCTGTGACAATGGGGACATGCGGGGACACTTCGGCCCACCGGCTCTGCCGGAGGATTGCCTTGTATTTCTAGTTTTTGTCAGTCATATGAAAGCGATGACCTTCGATACATCTTTCGCGGTAAAAGATACTTTCGCGAACCTCATCGCGAATCTTTCGCGGATGGTTTTTAACAACATCTGAAAGACGGTTTTATCTAAAACTCCTTACACGGGGTTTTAGATCAACTCCTAATATGCTGCCGTGCCACATCTAACAGCTCAAAAACGCTTTGGCTCTGCGCTGCCTGCAAATCAATTGTCGGAAGCACGAGTTCTGACAAATTGCAAAGAGATGTGAAGAGTAAAGATTGACATGATTGACAAGCTCTTCAATTTGAAGTTGCTCGCCCATATATAGATCTATCAATGAGTCAGTCAAACCCAGCGATCAAAACCATGTGACTGATGTGCTTCAAGACTACTGCAGTTGCAAGCTTGCATGGCCAATGTTTTTCAGGTCCGGATGAATGCACTGCAATGATTGCAGCGAACCCTTCGTGGCACAAGCTCAGGTTCAGTCTGGTCTCATACTTTGCAACTGCATTTCTTCAACAACAATCTATGGAAAAGATCTCGTCCGGCACGCATACAAGGGCCAAACAAAACTAAATGTGCACAGTCCTTCCTCGGCTGTCGCCGTCTCTGAAGGCTCTGCAGTCTTTGGCATTGCCCGATGGATACGCTAGCTGCTCTTGTGGTCAAACATCAATTTCTGATAAGCAAAATACAGGACAAGAAGTTGTATCCTCCGTTTACACTTGTCTGTCATATCTGCAAGAAATCGATTGCATGCACTACCGAGTAAGCAAAGGGTCGAGCATCAAGACACCTTATTGAAATTACTGTAGCGAGTGCTGTAGTTTTTGTATCACATGCAAACGGTCATCACAAATGCTGCAAACTGTGCATTCAACATCATCGCTTAAGAACTTAATGTGCTCGGGCTGTGCCAAGAACAAAACAAGATTCTGACACAATCACACGGTGACTGCAAAACATTGCAAAGCCAGCCCACCAACAGAACCAGTACCACAAACTTGGCGCGAGGACCATCAGGCAGAGGCATCATCAACACACGAGCAAGGTTTAGACCTCCATAGTAAACGTTTCCATCATGGCATTTCCTGTGCTTCGTTGTTCGATTTTTCATCTGCTGAGGAAGACTCAAATTTATAAAGTTATGGAACCCTTGAAACATCTCCGTTCCAAAGAAAGAAGCCAAATGCCCTGGACAGGTCGCGGTTGGACCCACATCGAAGCTATGGACATGGCGCCAAGAACTTCGTGGCAGCAGGAGAGGGACCCAGTCATTCTTCACACTAGTCCATCACAATCATGCATACTGTTCGATTGGGTGTTCTACAAACTGGGCATGGCCTGTCGATCATGGCTTGCCAACCCTGAAAACATTCCTTCTGGCAAATGCATGCATGGCCACAGTCCAAGGTAACAATGGGGTCGCCAGAGTGGAAGTTCTGCTGGCAAATAACGCATTTTGGGGAGCGATAAATTTTTGGGACGCGTGGAAGTGGTCCAGCTGGGACCTCAGCCTCCTCAGCCGAGCGCAAGGCATTGCCCAGGAATTGTCCGACTTGCCACCCAACCACGGGCGCTACCATGTGGACAGCCTTGGTAAAAATGCCATCGCCACTGAGGAATGGCTGCATGGCGCAATTGAGGGCCTGTGAGATTCCCCGGCAGGGCCCTCGTGCAAGGAAGGTTCCAGTGGCTCCAAGGGCCAGGTGAGCCGCAATCGACGCCACACATCCCGCACGCTGTTGAAGGGCTCGTAGCTCTGGTGCGCAAAAAGTTACAGCTGCACCGCTCAACACTCCTGTGAAGAAATTTCCACCAACTCCAGCTGGCACAGACGGTGTGCCCTCAGCGCCACCGGCAACGTCCACATCCACCAGCTCCATCTCTGTAGCTTCTGCTGGGCCCGCGACACCGACCTCTGGTGCAACAGCCTCAGCTTCAGTCGCTTCGGGAAGAGTCCTGGTGAAACAAGATGAAACAAGAATCTTGGATGTCGTCATCATCTGTCGACTTCAAAACAGTCACGGCTCACCCAGGTCCTTTCGGCGAGGGTAGGGCATCGAAGCAACAAAGCTGCTGCTCGAGGGAAGCGCTGAGTTATCGCGCGGTCGGCGAGCGCAGCCACGGCAGGGAGCGCCATCCTAGGGAAACTCGCGTCGCCTCTCCATCAACTACTCTCGAGCCTCATGCGGTTATATGAAAGAGTCGATGAAGGAAGCCCGCGCATAGGATGCCCACGTGTGTGTGTGTGTGTGTGTGTGTGTGACCATGCACACAAGGCAGGACCATGCAACCTTCATGTTTTCTTATGTGTTCTTATCCTTTCCTTACTTTCCTCCTTGCCCTTCCTTTCTTGTTCCATCAATTCAATCGTGCGTTGAAGTTCTCCCGATTATTTGTGCGCAGCCAGCGTCTTGCTTTGGAGGAAAACACCTTTGCAAGTTCAATGATTCAAGGGCTTGAGTCGTGTTCACCACAAACGACTGAGAAACATGGGCAGCTACCTTTAAGCAAAGGCAGCTAAGCCGCTGTTCATGTGCGTAGGGCTTGCAAAGCAAAAGGCTGTTCGTAGCAATCTTGCCTCCAACTATTTTGGACAGAAATAGCAGCTGGTGATGTCCGATGTCCATGAATGGAACTGTTGGTCCAACATGGTTCGAATAAAAACAAAAGCAAACATGCCGTTCCTCCTCCGAACAGCTCGCTACGTAGCGCATCAAAAACGAGCATGATCTGCACTGTGCAGGAGAGCAAGAACAGGTACAAGGAGTCGTCCAGCTGGTGGCTTCTGCTGCAAAACCAATCACGAAACGTATTTAATCAGCAAGCTTGAAGTTGTGCACTTTGCTCAAACTTCAAAAATCCCAAACACGGTGACCTACCAGCTAGGTTGCCATAAAGGCTATCCTATGTTGGGCGACCAGTTTGACACAAGCTGAAACTCAAGTTGGAGAGAGAGAGAGAGAAACAACATGAATCTGATAAAACGTGATATAACCGTTGAGTAAAATAAACAAATAGCCAAAAACAACCGGCTCTTCACTTCACTCACTGCCAGAAACCAGACTCTGTTTGCTTTCTTGCGCGGGCACAAGTTGCGCTTTATGGCAGCAGCCTTTCTGCTGTCCTATTTGCGCTGTTGATAATCCAATATGCCAAGTTCAGCTTGGTCAGATTGAAATTCTGACACTGGGGGGACAAACCAGAATCTTTGGTCGCAATGGGATGTACAATGTTAAAATCAATCTCCAACTGCAAACGGAGGCAAATTGCGGATCATCTTTACATCGCTACTTGAGGCACTCACTTTGGAGCGCCTTTTGCACAATGTGAGGAGGTTGTTGCCCCACGTTTCCAAAGTCTTTGGCAAGCCTGAGCATGTTGTTTTTCCAAAAATATGCCCTTATTCAGTAAAGGGCGGAAGAAGAAGCTCCATTGGACATGTTGGGAGGATTGACGGGTGCATCTGTTCTGTATTGGAATTGGAAGAAACAAAGAATTAAGATTGCAATGGTTATTTTTGTGGGACAACGGTGTGCCCGATCGTAATTTCAGAGTGTTCTTGAACCTTCCAAGTTGCTCGAATTGAGGATAAAACAAGCAAACCCAAATGTAGCCAAATGTCCATTTGCACTCTGAAGTCACAATCGAAAAAATCGGGAGCAACTGCAAGAAACGTGAACTGGCCGGAGAAAACCAGGAATTGAAATCTGTAAGGAAATAGATTAAATCCCAACTGCGAAGAAACTTGCGTGATGCTTGGCCCAAGCCGGGAAGTCTCAAAGTCAGCAGAGATTGTTCAGCAGTCTCTTGGCCTGGCTGCAACAAGTTATAATCAATCTTGCTGCAAAGTGCCGACGTGGTGCAGTGGTGGAGCCACAACATGCATATCATAAACTCGAACCCCAAGCCCAGCCCCGTTCAACCAAGTAACCAATTGGAGTTCGAAACTGCCGTACCATCTTCGTATCCTCTCTACAACGAGGGCCCACCACAACGAAACCATATTTTCAATGTCTTTGCGGCGACAGAATCGGGCCCCTTCTTTGCACATGGCAATGCGTTTTTTTGGGAAAGCATGGCTGGTGCGCAATTACGTTGCGCGCTGACAAAAATTCAGGAGTGGCCCCACTCATGGCGGCCAGTCGGCCAGTGCCCAGGTCGTGACATTTACTGGGATGGGTAAAGCTGGGGCCCCGAAAGGGCTGATATTTGCAGGAGAGGTGCTGGTCATGGCCCCAGAAGTGACGGTATTTACAGGCCACGAATCAGGAACTGCGGCGCTTGGGCATGGAGCTGTCATCGGTTCCCATCCCGGTGTGTCACAGCTTCGCACGCATGTCCACGATGCCCACGATTGAAGACATTGTTGAACGAGCGACTCAACACGGATGCCCTACGTCCTAGGCAATAACAGCACGGATGGATTTGCGACATTGACAAAGAGTAAAGACAACATATCGCAGAATGTCGCAGATGCAGCACAAAGTAGATCGCGGATGCGGGGTAAGCCAAGTAGCCACATCCACATCAAAGACCCCATTGCAAGGGGGAGGGGCGGGAACTTGAAGCGGTATCAGAATCATCACCCACTGCCACTTCTCCATGGAAACTCCACCGGTGCATCTGCCATGCAGCTTTCCACACAAGTCGTTTGGGCAGCCAGTGTCTCAACGCACAGCAATCAGAGGCTTTCAAGAAGGCAGCAAAGAGCACACAAACTTGAAACCTCCACATTGTGGCCCCTTTACGCGATCTTCAAAAGTGAGGCCACCAAGTCACACCAATAACAGTCTCAGCAATGTGGTCCTCTACAGGCGCTATAGTATCTGTGCTTGGACTTGCTGTACTGCAGCGGCTTGGATCGGACTTTGCCAAGTAAGTGATTCTGCGGCGCCACCAAAACATGGCCGTCCCTTCTTCCCAAAGCTACGACGAGTACCGCCCTGCCAGATTTTGGGCCCCGTTTTTGGGACCATGAAGCTACACACGTGTAACGGTACAATTGGACCATGCGACCATGCGATCTGGAATGATGATTCTTTCTGATAATTCGCGGGCTGCGTCGGCCAACACAGCGTCAACATGTTTGAGTCTGACACACACACACACAGATAGAGAGAGAGAGAGAGTGCCCTCAGATTCCATCAGATTCCTTGTTTTCCATGAATCTTCACCGTTCGGGCCTGGCGCTGCACCATGGGCTGAGGAGACTTCATGAGGCGCAGCAACTGGCGCCCACAAACGTGGAAGATCTTGGCCTCGAATCACGGTTGTTTTACTTGCTCCTGTGCGTGTGTGTGGGTGTGTGTGTGTGTGGGTGGGTGGATGAGCGGTTGTTGATCTATTAGTAGGCATGAAACATTCTCGAGCCAGTTGGGTCGCTAGGCCATGCAAAAGTCGTTGATCTATTGCAAACTTTGAACATGTGGACTGCTTTTTGGCGGGAGGTGTGGGGGACAAGTATTGCCACATGCACGTATCCCACGCACTTCTCCCTCTTTCCAACGATACGAACCAGGCTCCCGGACCCTCTGAGAGGACAGAGTGGCCAAACTGCCCAAAGCCCGTAGACCTTGGAAAACACAGAAAATGCTGTTCCAAATACCAATCTGTGCATCGCTCCTTCACTTTGTGAGATTCCAATCTGCCTAATGGTGATGCAAAATCCTAGGTCCGCAGGGAAA